CGGAAAGAAATCCCAAAGTGAGAAAGAAATAACCAAGTTTTATCCATCAAGTCTTTCATCATGTACAACAGACCATGAGTATGGAGTTTCACTTGTGAGATGGGAAACAGATTTGATACACATCACATGAAGTTCTAATAAGTGATCTTTTGCTTGGAGTAGACAAAAAGATCTTGCATTCGCTTTAGCAACTACTTCAGTTGCAACCCCAGTGCTGTCATCACCGTTTGGACAGATACACCCACAGTGTGTTGGAAGGAATTGTGTGGCGTGTGGGCACCCAAGACATGGACCTCTTCCTGGGGATAGATGTCCTCATGCTCCTTTAGAAAACTTCAAGTCCTGTAGGCAACGATACCCTAAAGAGAAGGCTGAGATCCAGCTGGGAAGAGTAGAAAGGTAAAGGCGGTGTCAAAGTCCAGGAACACGGAGACTAAATCTGTCTATAGTGAGTCAGTTCGTGTTGAAAGCTGTTATCTCCTTCCTGAGCTTTCACTGCAATTTTATCACGAAAATCAAAGCTGCTGTGTTTTCAGACACACAGCTCCTGACTGCCCTTCGCTTCCACAGTTTCCTTGTGTTCCTGAGTTCTGTGGCCTTTTGGCTGTTTGCCTTCTGTCACCTTCCCCTGGCACTCACTTCTGCAGCCCAGCTTTCTCCTTGTTCTCCTCTCTGGAGCTGATTCTCAAGGGTGTTACAAAAGACTCATCCTGCTAGTAACATAATCCTGTGCCAACTCATGCCCTTCAAGAACAGGAAACCTTTAGCTCTTCAAAGTATATGTTTCTGTGGCTTTGTTTTATAAATTTACAAGCAGTGGAAAGGTCATATTCTGAGCAGCATGAATGCGGCTGAGGCTGGCACGCAGGCTGCATTGGTCCGGGTGAGGGCCGGTGAGCTGAAGCCGGCAGCAAGCACTGCACTGCCTGTGAAGGCTGCCGTCTTCCGCTCTTCATGCTCTTAGCCCTCGAGCAGAGCTCACAAGCCACGCTCTCGCAGCACAAGAACCGAGCGCTTTCCTCTGAGCCCGATGAACCCAAGCTGAGTGCTTTCCACCACGCTGTAAACATAGCACCACCTGCCAGAGAACACTGTTCCTATTGTGCCTTGTAAAGGGATTTTTTAGAGGTACAATTTGTATGCTATCAAATTTACTTACCGTGCGGGTGAAATTTTATGACTCTTCTAGGACACTTGCTAAGTTGTGCCGCTATCACCAAAAAACAATTTTAGAATATTTCTCTTACCCATGAAAGATCCTTTGTGCTCACTCACGGCAGATCCTTGCTCCCAAGCCCCAGCACCAGGCAACCACTAATCAGTTTAAAGCCTCTATCAATCTTATTTAGCTATTTTAAATAACTGTAATCATGCAGCTTGTGGTCTCCATGCCTGGGTTTTTTCACTTAATCTAATGTTTCTAAAGTTCATCCGAATTACAGCATGTTCACTGATTATATTATATTCCATTTTAAGCCATGCTACACTGTTTGTTGCCCTGATGGACATTTTAATCATTTCCATTTTTGGCTACTATGAATGATGCTTTTTGATTCCTAGTGAATTATAAATGACAGAAAAGCTTCAAATTTGCAGTCAGGAATCCTAGTTTAAGTATTTATTGCCTTAATTATCTGTAAAATTTGTTTTCTCATACAGAGAGTGGAGCCAATTAACCCTTCCCTGTTCTGTTCCGAGAGAGATTATAAAAATCAAGTAAGATGTTATACGTGAAATGCTTTGTGAACTCTAAAGCACAGGACAAATAAAGGCATTGCTGCTAAAGTAGCTTTCCAGTTGTGTTAAAATGGACTAGATGTTTCTCAGGATTCTTTCCACAGTTTTGGAACAAATGATGAAGCCTTTGCGCTGTAGGAAATATCAATACATTTTTCCTGTGGACTTGAGGTTCTCAGAATATAACCTTTATCAAAGCCTAGCCTTTAGAAAGATGCTAATACCATTCTAGCTCTCTTAAATTCATTTGTTTTTAAATATTTGTTGTTGATTATCAAATAAAAGGCTTTGCTTGCTACTGAAAAGGAGATTTCCAGAGCCTTGAGAATCACTGTCGGAAGTATACAACTCAGAAGAGTTGATCAGTGATCAACTGGTGACTGAGGTTTAATCACTGTACCCTCCAACCCGCAAGTGAGTCTTTTGGGTAACTTCCAAAGAAAGAGTTGATCGAGGGATTCTAGTGAATTAAAACCAAGCCTAAGTAAACATTAGCATCCTCAGTCAAAGGTGGCTGAAATTATTGCTTCATTGAAACAATATTAAGCTAACTGGATATCTGCATCTTTAGGGGTACTCAGACATACCAGAACATAGATGACCGACCCCTGTGTGTCATGCATAGCATTTAAGTTCTATGGAGCATGAAAATAGTGTCCTCCAAAAGACAATGTGGACTTTGCTTTAAACAGAAATAACCAAATGTTAGTGTCTGACACCCACTCAGCACAAAGGTGAGGTATCTAACATTATAGGCTGCTTCATGAAGTTTTACCTTAATCTCTTTCCAGAGGTCAGCATGGAAGATTTCAAGGTAAGAGCAACGGCTGTTCCATTTACTGGAGTCTGAGGCACAGCCTGTGAGTCCCAGTTCAGCGCCTTTGGAGGAATGACTGGCCTCTCGAGTGTTAGAACTCAGGTGTTCCCTGTGCCCAGATTCAAGTTACTAGACTGTCTCCTTCTGAAAACAGCAAATGCCCAGACGTCTCCAGCACTCCCTGGCGTTGCATAATACGGGCCACTGAGGTCAAGTGAGTCTACTGTTTCCACACGTCTTCCCCTCCTCTCCCTCTGTCAATAACTGCACGATCAAAACTTTAAAAAGCAAAAGCAGCTGAGAGTCTGAAGGAAAAGGACCACAAGATTGAGGCTGGCCTAGGCACCTCAGTGAGTCGGTGAGACTACCTCAAAAACAAAATTGGGGTGCCAAGGATGCAGTTCATCGCGAAGGTCCTGAGTTCAATCCCCAGAGCCACAAAAATTAAGGAAACAAAGAAGGGAAGACAGACAGACAGACAGAAAGTGAGGTTTTATGTGGCACGGGCAGTGTTTTGCTGTTTCCTTCCTATGTGGAAGAATTTAGAGATGCTGGTAGGATGCCACATGTATCCCTAGCATTATTTCCAGATTCTAAGCTCTTGACCATCTGAAGCACCGTACTGTGAGACCGAGGGTCTTATCTTGCAGCTCTGGCACTCTGTGAAAATAATAGTGGGAGCCTGAGTCTCACAGGCACTTGCTCTGTGTTGAATATAGTGCACTCACATCTTGTTCAAACTCATGGAGCTAATGATTTAAGACCTTGGTTCAAACCAGTGCAAAGTCTGTATTTTAATGAGATTTATTTGCATGTTTCTTCTAGGACACTATAAAGCTAATCACTATTTATTGTAAATGTGTATGTTTTTAAATTGACAAATGAAATTGTATATGTTTATGGCATAAAATATGTTTTGAAATATGTATACATTGTGGAATGGTTAAACTGAGCTACTTAACATATGAATTTCCTCACATACTTAATCATTTTTTATGGTGAGAGCACTTAACATCTGTTTTCTTAATAACATTCAAATGCACAATGCCTTGTTATTAACTATAATCACCAGGCTGTGCACCAGGTCTCTGTAACTCATTCTTCCCGTCTAACTGATACTTCGTTTCCTTTGGCCGCATTTCCCTGGTTCCCCCTCCACCTCCCACGCCCTCATAAACACATTCTACTTTCTGCTGCTGGGTTTGTGTGTTTTACATTCCACATGTAAGTGAGATCATACGGTAGCTGCCCTTCTTTGTCTGGCTTATTTCACTTAAATGCATGTCTGTTTGAATAAAAAGTACATGTCCTTGCCTACTGCATTACATGTGATACTGCAATAGCATGACAGCACAATACATTCTGTACGTGTGCATTGTATTAAAGGTACATATGCCATATATATGTACTTCTATATATATGCAGATATATAATGTCCATTTTGTTTAATGCATAATTTGAAATAGCTTAGAATTTTTGTCTTAAATAATGTCTGATATGGAGGGTGGCTACAAACATAAGAATAGTATGATTGCAAACCAGGAGCTGGGTAGGAATTTCTGGTAAAATGTCAGTGATAATGAAAAGGCTTAAGTGTAAGGCTTCAGTTCTTTGCATCATGAAAGACTCCACCTTGTAGTTCCCATGGCTTCTGCTCCATTTATACTGATTTTTCAAAGCGCTGCAACAAAAGGGGCATTACCTATGAATACCTGCGACATGTCAGCTGTTTCCACACTTCTGCACGGTCGTACTATGGCCTGGATACATGTCCTGTAACCGATTAAAATGATTAAGCCATATTCTTCAGGAGCCATTTGGTTTCAGTGTGCTTGAAAGTTTTTTTGGCCGGAAACAGTGGTGCTATTTGACCAACAGAAAAGATAAACAAAACATACTCTAGTGACAGTTCAGATCTGCTCTTTTCCACCGGACTCTGAGATACAAAGCAAGGTCCCAGAGACTGCAGCAGCTACAGACAGCTTGGCGGTGGGGGCAGCGGTGTCGGAGTCCAGCACGGCACTGCCGTGGTTGCACTGGCACCACGGGGGAATGTTTGGCTTCATCTGGGGCTGATTGGGAGGAACAGCTGCTGCCCTCTCCCAGATAAATGACACGCTCTACGAGAAAGAGAGGCCTAATTACACAGAAATTAGTTCCTCTTCCGTCAGCCTGCTTAAAAACAAAAACACCGAAAAACGTCCAAAATGTGGGGAGCAAAAATCCATTTGTTTGGGATATAGCAATTGCCTCAGTTCTTAAGATAGGTGTTTTTACTGCTGCATAAATGCTAAAGGAAACAATTTCAAAACAAATAGCATGTGCAATTAATTTATATTTTTACATCCAAGCCTTTTTTGAATGTATCCAAAATACATTAGGGAAAATGTCAAAGGTCGGTGTGCTACAGTTTAACGTCTGAAGGGTCATGTAACAGACTTGCACGGTCAGTTATCAAATTTTTATTTATTCACAGCAATGTTTGTAGGTAACAACACATTTTAACCATGAGTAAGAAAGCCACAAGAAGTTGTGTACACAAAACAATACAGCTCAAGTTAAATACATTAAAGTTTAATTTATATAAGAATATATCCTCTAGAGAATACACTAGGCTTAAACTATAGCCCTAATTAAACAGTTTTTTACACTTGTGTTGTAAAGATAACTGACACTAACTGTAACTGAAAAAAAGTACAAACCACAGAGGCATTACGATTAAAAGAATATAGTCCTGCAAGATAAAAATTAAAATATTAGAAAAGTACACTATTAAAATCTAAGAATAATAAATTTCAATAATCACATTGTTAATATTATCCAAGCAATTCAGAAATTTGAAAGTGTCATTTCACCATGAGGTCACCAATTATTTCTGTCTGGGTCTTGTATAACATTCGTGCTCCAGGGAATGTGTTTGGCCCGGAGGGGAGACTGGGAATCAGGCAGAAGTAGACGCTGCCCTGACAGAGCTTGCAGTCTGGTGGGGAAGCTAGATGGGCCCAGAGTTTCCCACAGTTCAAGATGAGAAGTGTTGGGGAGGGGCCTCGCGTCCTACAGGAAGTAACCTCTCAGTCCAGGCCTTAGGGTCAGGGTGAGTTAGCCAGGCAAAGACAAGCAGATAGAAATGGAAAGAAGGTTCCACGCAGAGGAGAAGTAAATGCACAGGTTTGAGGTGCAAAAACCTTTATCTATCTACAGCAGGATTCTCAAAAGTTCTCATATAACTCACTAGGCCACAGCGAGGTTTTCACTCGTCCACAGGGAAAAGAAGCAGTGGGGTCCCTGTGTCCAGCACTAAAGCCATTCAGCTCTCATGTCTCAGCTTGCGATGTCTCACTTTCTGGCATTCTAAGAACTGATCGCTCTTATGAAATAATGGTGACAGTAGATGGCATTTTTAAAAAATAGAGGACCCAATTTTAGAACTAAGAAAGCCAAAACTAATTGTGTCTACAACTTTAAAGTCTGGGGAGTCACTGGTGGAAGAGTAAACCTCTGGAGAGCCTACAGTTAAAGGGAGGGAGGGAAGAGGGCATCAGAGGTGAGGCAAGGAGGGCGGCAAGGGGAGACCGCGGAGTCCACCTGGGGACTCTGGACTTTATCCTGTGAGAAATGAGAATGATTTTACTTTTAAACTCTACTCACATCTCTAAAAGGCAATTCCGGTATTCTGTGTGCAGAGGATGTGCGGGGCAGGGTAAGACAGCCGCCAGCAAGCAGATGAGTGTCACCGTATCACCCCAGGAAAGAGGAGATCACAGTCAGGCTTAGGATCAAACTGATGAGCCTGAGCAGAAAAAGGCTATTTCAAGAGACAAACTTAGTGGGATTGGGGATTTGTTACAGTGGGTGAGGAAGTGCGGTGGCCATCGCTGATGCAGTCTTTTTCCTTTGGAAAAGGAATTAATCATTGTTCTAACTAATGAAATTGGGAATGTAAGAGAAAGAGCCCTTTTGTGGAGGAACACCGTGAGTTCGCTTGGGGACCTGTTGAATTTGAAGCATCTTTGTGTTCAAGTGCCCTTTGGGCCGTTTGTCTATACAGGTCTCCAGCACAGGAGAGCAAGAGCCGAGGGTGGAAATAAGTCTTGGGGTCATCAGCAAAATGACGGCAATCTTGCAGTAGATGAACTATCCCAGGGAAAACATTACTACAAGACTGACGGGAGATGAGCAGTGTGAAAGAAGACAGAGCAGCCAAGGGGGCAGGAGCAGAGCCAAGAAACCAAGGCATCCGCATAGTGAAGACCAAGGAAGGAGGTCCCATTTCAGGAAGCAGCAGCCAACAGCGTCAGACGCAGTCGGCATGGATGGGGAGAGGGGCTGAGAGGTGCATTTGATTTAGCAACAAGCGGTTGTCAGGAACCTTGCAAAGAGCTGTGGGGGCAGCAGGTATGAAGCCAGGGTGTGAACCTGCCAGCAGGAAGGAGCTCTTTCACACACTGGCCTTTCGAAGGCAGAGGCGAAATGGACCCCACAACTGGCAGGAGATGCAGGTTTAGCAAAGTAGTGATTTGCTTTCTAAAACATAAAAAGTCATTTATGGTTATTGTAGGAGCCAGGTGATGGGGAGAATTTAAAGGTTTGTAGCAGGTGATGATAACCACCAGAAACCCAGATACGGTACTGTCTTTCCAAAACTCAATGTCTTTACCACTCCCAGAAGGACACAATATACCTACATGATTGTCAGTGGATTTAAATACACTTAAGGATGTTAAGTGGTTCCAATAAATTCTCACATTTTAAAGGAATCACATTTTAAAAAATTTCAGAAATCACATTTTAAAAGATTCTTAAGTTATGGCAATTTTAGCTCCTGTCCATAGAGATCATACTCTTTGAATAATATATATCTTTGAATAGCTGGTGGTACAGGGAGCTTCTCCACAGAGGCTGGCTGGCAGAGGCGCTGGAGTCCCATAAGTCTTCGAATTCTTAACCGACATAAATGCTTCAGTGAACAAGGATTCTCTAAAATGAACAGGGAGGGGGACAAGCAAAAATTATGAGTAATGTTAGTGGATTGACCAGGAAACTACAGATTGTTTCAGCATACCATGAATCACGTCATTCTGAAGAGCATGCGTGCATACTTTAATGAATGAAATTCGTACTGCAGTGAAGTATTCTAGAATACTGCCTGAAATGCAAACTCCACCAGGGCAGAGACTTAGTCTGTCTCTGTGCCAGGAACAGAATATTTAACTGTGGTGAATATTTAACTAAAATGCATTAAATGAATAAATGAACTTGACTTAAGAAAGTGAATGCTCACACCTCCTCATGTTTAATTATATTTAAAATATCTAGAACTGGATGGTAGGTATATTTCTTCACTTCCTCTCTCCCCTAGCAATCCAGGAATCATCGATACAAATGATTCTATGATTCATTCATGGTTCAACCTGAGGCTTGTTTATAGTATCTTATATCGAAACTTTTTATAATTTAAAAATACTGATTATTCAAATATCTGATGTTAGCCATTATTTTCAATTCTTACTTTGTATTATAATTACAATATGGGTATAAGATACCAGCAAATGAACTCATAAAAGGGCAGCACAGGACACAGGCTTACACACAGGCTCTGGACTCCGTCAGTTTGGGTTAAAATCCTGGCTTTGTCACTGTATACTCATTTGACTTCGGGCAAGTTACTCAATCTCTGTGATTTTAATATTCCCAACTACGAAACGGGGATACTAATGAGACGTACCTACAGGGCATTTGCATATTAAACAAATTAATTTATATAAACTAGTAAAGTGCTTGGTACATTGTAGCCATTCCAGAAATGGTAACTATTATTCAGTTCAATAGTAAAACTGATTGTATTTCTGATACACTGGAGAATATAAACATTCAAGTTATTTTTTTAAAATTTAAAATAACAATTTCCAAAGATTATTGAGGCAAAATGATTGTTACCAAAGCAGAGACGGGAGAAAAGTTCATTTTTATAAAAGATGACCACTGTTTGTCCCCGTCGCACTGCTTCACTTATACTTGGAGGAATCCTGCCATCTAGTGTTTGATCAGTATTATAACAACCAGTAATGCGTGCTCTCAACAATGGACACCGTCCTGGCTGTATTCACAATTAGAATGTCTCTTTAAAGTCATTCGAACTGGGGATTCTTTTGCAATAAAAACATACGGAGAGTGAATTCCCACTCAGAAGCAAAATCTATGCTGTCTAGACTGGATAATAACATTGTAGAATGAGCCTGTATTTTGAAATAAGACAGAAAAGGGTTCAAATCTTTGCTTTGTTATTTTTTTCTATGGTTCTAACTTTGGGAAATTAATTTATTTAAACTTCAGGGGCCTGTCTCTCGTTGCACTCTCAAAACTGCTTCAACTTTTTATTGAAAAATAAGGTAAATATAGAGAAACAATTCACATGCATAGTTCTACAAGTTATTGTAAGTTAAATTTTAAAAATTGCCTCCCAGGTCTTGAAGTAGAACTTGGCTGGCCACCCCAGAATTTCCTCTGCAATCCTTCCAATGTTACTCTTCCTTCCTGCACACGTCGCTGCTATTGTGACTTGTCTAGCAATCACTCCCTCTAGAGTTTCACCTCCCAGGTGTCCTGTCTCTATGCCATAGTATTGACAACCCCTTCTTAGAAATTTCGATGTTTTTAAGTCTTTTTTTGCCTGCAGGGTCTCCATTCCATTCTCATCCTTCAGTCTTTGAAGAACTCAAGTGCTCTGTATCTCCCACACCCTGCACCGTGCTGATTGCTTTGCAGTGTTACAGTTCCATGTCCTGCACTGTCTTCCCTATTTCTTGAAAACTGATCGCTAGGTTCAGAGGCTTGATCAGATTTAGGTTTGATTTCTTCAGCAAAACTATGTTACTTCTTCAGGGACCACATAGCTTGGCATTAACAGCTGATAGTTTTCAATGACTATATCCATAGTTTGTGGGGACGTGTCCATTCATGTAATTTCTTTTTCATTGATTATCTGAAATACCTTTACAAAAGGCTGTTTTGCTCATCCACTCTCTGGTGACTAGTGGCACAAGTTATACAAATAAGGGAGAATACACAGCTTCAGCACTTTCTTTTATTAGTTTCTCAGATAAAGTGATTTTCTATCGTCCTTTGGAGGTGACCAGTTTTTTAAAAGTCGTGTATTAAAGCGTGTTGGATATGCTTTAATTAACGGAAATAATTATCCATTTGCAAAGTAAATTTTGGCCATGCAGGTCTCTTCAGATTGGCTCCTGTGTTCTTTTGCCATGATTCTGACAGTCTCTGAGAGCACTTTTACTCCCTGGTATAAGAGGTGCTCCAGTTCTTCTCACACATTTTCTTCCTCTGGAATCAGCGTTCCTCTCAGACACTCTTGTTTCTTTTCCAGGAGCTGCATCTACAAGCCAGAATCTGTGTGGTCGGGGTTCATTGCTACGGGGTTCATCACTATTTCTAAGGCTTTCTGTAGGCAGACGCGCGCGCGCACACACACACACACACACACACAGTTACACGTACAGTGCACATGAACACGTATACTTTCAAGGTAAAATGGCTTATAAATTCATACTGTTACTTCCAATTTAAATTAGAACCACAGGAGTTCTTCAAAACATCTTCTATCTTGCACCTGCATTTCCTTTCTTCTACGCGGATGACCCTGAATCTCACACGTATGAAGAATAATGGAATTCGAATATCCCTCATTCTCAGCGTAGCAACATGACAGTTCTGTAACTTGCAGTATCTTAGAATATTTTGAATGAATATATATTTATTAGTAAAATTATTTGCTTGATTTATTTACTGATATTTAAAAGTAAATATTTGTGCCATGTGTATGTCACCAGAGAATATAACCAGTGCATATTTACTGTATCTTCTCCCTTTTAACTCTCAGTGTTGGTATTATGTTCAATGTTAGTCCTATTTAATGCTGGTCTTTGTGTTGATATCTTTCTAGTCATTTTGGGTTGCTAAAGGTTGTTTCTTAGTGGATTCCTCAGTGGGAAATCAGAGGAACAAATTTCGTGAGTCCTTGCGTGCTGGAAACCATTTTTTTATACAGCAACTCAAAGTCAATTTTGCTGTCACACGTCCTCAGCTCACATCTTCATCTCTGGGCAGTCTTTTTTTTTTTTTTTTTGGTACTGGGAATCGAATTCAGGACCTTGCACTTGCCAGGCAGGCTCTTGTTGCTGCTGAGCTGCATCCCTGGCTCTAGATAGTCTGAAGTATATTATTCCATTATATTTTTTAGTGTAAAGTGCTGATAACGAAAAGATTAATACAAATATATGTTAATTTAAGTGTTTTTTCCTCATAAGTCATTTGTTCTTTTTACCTATCTGCCCAAAGGATACTGTAATTTGGAATTTCAAATCTTTCATTTTTATTATGGGAAGTGTTTTTCTTGAAATTTTTAAAATTGTGTTTGTTTGGTTTCCTACATTTGGCTTTCCTTTTCTTTTTAAGGAAACTTATATGTAATTCATATATCAACTCTTTATTGTTTCACGTCAATATTTACCAGTCTTTCATATCCTTTTACCTATTTCTTCACTTCTATTTGATTTTTAAATTTTTCTTTCATTTCATCTTCTATGTCTCTTAAGGTTTTATGTATTGTGCTATTCTTGGTTTTCTTCTAGTTCAGGCTTCATACTTGAAAATATTACCTTCTTTTATTTTGAATTACTTCCTCAGTTCTGTTACCTCATTCCTGAATTTTCCTAATTTTGACTTATTTTTTAAATGAATCATTTTCCTATGCAGTTTAGTTCATTTTGAAATAGAAACTTTTAGTCTTGATCTGTTTGGTGCTTTTTTTTTCTGATGTATTTGGTCTGTAAGGATATTATTCTGTTCCTCTATTTCTTCTTCTAACTATCTGAGATTTGATTGTGCTACTTTTCTGCTGATCATTTTTATTTGAATTTAATTTTTAAACTTTTTTTTAAAAATGGTAGTTTCAAGAATCCATAGGGTCTAGACTGCTTTGTAATTCTCTTTAGCCTTTTATTTGTAATAATTCAGTTTTGAAAATATCTAAATTCATTAAGTATGTTTAATACTGTAGACACTGTGCTAAGCATGTTACACATATTCTCTCTGCACCCCCCACCCCATTCTGGGGATAAAACAAAGCCCGGTTCTCAAGTGTGGCAGCAAGTGCTGCACACGGAGCTGCAGCCCTGGCACCACGCATTACCTCCTTAAATCCTCCCAGAACATTATGAGGTACACGCGACACTAGCTCCGCTTTGCAGTGGGAGAGGCAAGACATAAAAAGGATGGCTAATTTGCTTAGTCACATAGCCAGTGTGATTCTCTTGGTTTTCAGTATAGAAAATAAAATCTTCTGCACTTGGAGAAACAAAAATAATATAATAAACTGTTGCTTGTTCCCATGAACATGTCAGCCCCTTCAATCACACTATGGACAAAGTAAGCTATCAGTTCTACTCCCAGGCAAGGCCAAAATGCCTTCTCATCCTAGATGAATCTCATTCTAGAGCTTAACTTCTATCCTCACAATACTGCATGACTCATCACATTTCCTGGGATTTCTGTTTTAGTTGCTGAAAATTTTTTAATTATAAAACGCATTCCAGGGGAAGCTGATTTAGGTGCAAGTGTCAGATTATTTACATTTTGTGTATAGTCCATGGCGCCTTTTTTTTTTTTTTTTTTTTTTTTTTTGATACAGGGTCTCAGTATGGAGTTCAGACTGGCCTTGAGCTCGCTTTGTAGCTGAGGCTGGTCTCGAACTTGCAATGATCCTCCCACCTCAGGCTCCCGAGTACTGGGATTACAGGCGTGTGCCACCATGCCTGGCCTCCATGGTGACTTTTTAAATTCTGTGAAATTGATGTCCAAGTAGGTTTTGAAAGCTAATTTTCTTAAACTTATAATTTGAATAGAAAACACCTCTATGACTTTTTTCTAGGTTCTACTTGTATTTAGAGTAATTGAAAATTTATTTTTCTTAAAACTCAATGTTTAACTTTAATTTTTATAGTTCTAGGGAGAAAACACAGGGTCTTGCACATGCTAGACAAGTGCTTTGCCACTGAACTATACCACCAAGTTCTCTTGGAAAATACAAAATGCCTTGCCTATTACACAAAGCCTTTGATAGTAGGAATTTGCCAATAAAGACCTGAGAGAAAGGTTGTCATAAAGAACAATTCCAATCTTTTTCATTCATTCATTTACTCTGTAAGTATTTACTGAGTATTTACTACTCACTAGGCTTATACTAAACCTTGAGAATAGAAAAAGGAACACAATGGGTCTAGGCCAGGGAGATTTCAGTCTACATATTGTATAGTGTTATGTAAGTTAATTGTTAAACTATGAGTCCCAGCCAGAATGTTAATAAAGTCATATCACTATACAAGAGTTGGAAAATATCAAGAACACCTCAAAGTTTGTTTCTTACAGCAAAGAAATGTTAACGGTAATTTTAAAAAATAACCTAGATAATTCTAAATAGAAAGTGAAGAAGCACTAAAAAGTATCAAAGATATTAAGAAACTTTATGTACAATTTTAATAAAAAGTTATAGGTAAAATATTTGTTTTTACCCAGTATCTGGCGTATCTCTGGCCATTCTCTCTGTACTTCTAGTGCAGACTTCAGTTTAGCACACAGAGGCACATAATCCACATAATCGATTAATATACGAATAACGCTGCCTACCAGGTGTTTCATCCAAGGAACTGTAATAAACTCACAGAACTGAGACAATTGATAAGTTCAGTTTAGTAGTATTCTTAATATGCCACACATATATAGCACTTAATTTTGTTAGGAAAAATCATACTGTGTCTTTTCATAGGAAATAAAGGATCCCTACCAGTAATGAGCAAAAATGGGAAATAATTTGTTTGCTTGTTTAAATGAGCTATAGCCCTGAAAACTGGCATGGTTTTTATGCAGCTATAATTAATACAATTGAGAAGAATCATGTTTTTCTCTATCTGGCCCCAATATGCCACCAAATATGCATGAAGTGATTAATTACAGATGTTTTTATATTCTATATTTTGTTTCCAAGTCAAGAAAAATAAACAACATATTTTCATGGCTCACTTTATAGTTAGGTCCTCATATTGCAAACAAAAGCAAATCAAAAATAAGAAATGCATAAAAATTAATGTTGATTTTTTTCTTATAACATCCCTAAGTGAGGGAAAGGTTATGAGTTAGACACCAGAATACAAATTTTTCTTAACAGCACATTAAACAGCCTTCAAGACAGAGCACATGCTAGGCCACAAAGTGAGCCTAAATGGTTGTAAGAAGGTCACAATTATGTCAAGTATGTTTTCCAAGCACAGTGACAAAAAACTAGAGATCACCAACAGGAAGAATTTTGGAAACTTTACAAATACCTGGGCATTAAACAACATACTCCTGAGCAACCAGTGGTAAATAAAGAAATCAAAAGGGGAAAATAAAATTTCTTGAAGCAAATATAAGAGTTAGGATAATGACCTAATACACAGAAGAAAAGGATGTAACTCACCGGGTTGTCTTTTATCACACAAGACGTCCATCCTGGCAGTACCTCTTCCTCTGTCTCAGACCACACGAATGAGTGTCCAAAGATGTCCCCATGCATGCAGTCAAAGCACATCTCCACCTGATAGCCATTGTTCAGCAATAGCCTCAGCATGACTTCATCATTCAGGGCATATTGAATGGCACTGGGGAAACGGGTGTCATTCACATGCATAAAATAACAATTGACATTAGCTCCGTGTGAGAGAAGCAACCGGACAATTTCATGGTTACTGGCCCTCACCGCCACAAGGAGACAGTTGAGGGGATCCAGGTTCGGGTCTGCACCTGCAGCCAGAAGGACTTCTGTGCAGCGGATGTCGTTATTAGAAACGGCAAAGTACAGTGCGGTCTTCCTCTCATCATCATAGCTCTTGGAAATATGATCAGCAAGTAAGGTGTTGATATCGAAACCACTTTCAATGAGCAGTTCTAGGCACTGTGCGTTCTGCCCGTCTGCTGCTGAGTGAACCGGAGTTAACCCACTTTTCCGAATTGCATGTTTGGATGTTACTGGGATAAGATATTTCAATGCACTAAAACAAACAAACAAGCATCTCTCAGATATCCATATGGCATAAAAAGAATGAAGAAACTAAATAAACTGTTTTCCTTGCTAGAAAAGTAAATGTAATTTGTTTGGTTTCTCTTATTTTTTCTGTATAACCTTGTACTTAAATGTTTAACCTTTGTCCATCAAAGTCCTACTAGTTAGTTTAATGTAATTTAGTTCACTTTTTATTATCCTCCTCATTCAAATACTCCTGGGGAACATGTTGGATCTTGTACGTTTGGCTTTAGATGTGACTCCTCAGGATCCCTCCCCACTTCCACGTCTTCTCTGAATGATATAATTTTTATTAGTAGCTGATGCTATTTGATAAAAAGCTGATGCTATTTGCAAAGCTCTTCTGATGGCATTCAAGAAATCTTCTTGATCTTGACCATTAGAACCATGGTGTCATAGGAAGTGAGAGCTGGAATCAAACTTGGAATCTTAACAGAAGAATAAAGTCTCCAAGGCTAAGATGATTTGGCTAAAACACACAGTTACATGTAGAGATTAGACCTTGACCTTAAGATCCATATTAATTATTCCTTGTTAACTAACTCATAAGCATTCATTTATTTAATATTGGTCATGTATATAACCTGTCTCTTTCCATATAATTTAGAATAGAATTTTTAGCCAAAACAAGTCTTTATTATTTCATCAATTTTATATCAGTCCCATTGAAATAACTGACCACAGCTTATGTTTCTAAGTACATGTGATAAATACTTGTGAATTTCACACTTGACTAACCAACTAGACATGCACAAGAGCCGCAAGCAAGGATAACTTGATCTCTTGTGCCTAATTCAGAGCTACTATGTGTGAATTTATGAACACCAGGAGGAAATCCAGGTAAACTTTAACAACATGTCACTTAGCACCAATTATGCATCATTAGCTCCTTAACTTAGCCAGCATGGCTACTGAAAATCATAATGCATAATTACTTCAAAGTTTTTGAAGTTATGAAATATGTTTAATTGCCTAAACCACCTCTTACACTGAGTATTTAATATAGTGATTCTAGACTTATGTTGCTGTGTGTGTTGATAACACACGAGTCAAAACTACTTTCAACTAGTTGTATGGAAACAAAGAAATCTAAACTTATAGTGAAATTTTCTATTGAGGAATACATTTACCTTCACACTATAATATCCTGAAGATGCTAGGAAATAGAATAACTTATTATACTGTTACAAATTTTAATCCTTGTCAAGAGTAAATTTTTAGAAACTCCATAGCCTTTTGTTACCACATTTTTAAATAGACTCACTGGAACAGCTTGTACAAAATTCTCAACTGTAACTTATTCCATCTAAAAGAGAATAAAATCGCATTTCTTTTCACTATTAAAATAGTATAAATTCATTTTGTTCAAATGCAAGAACATAGGAATGAGACAATCAAATAACTTGTAAGCATTTAAATACAAACCTTGTGAACATTTTGCCTATTTCCCTGTGGATTTTGAGCAGCATCATATACTGAGGGATGTGTGATTGTACCGTGAACATGATTTTGCATTTTTAGTGTAAAGTTATCAGCCCATAACGCGCTACTCACAGATAGTGTCCCTCATAGGCAGCTCGGTGTATGGGGAGATGCCCTGCCCTGTTGGGTATGTTTCCACTTCCTCCGTACTCCAGCAGGAGAGCAATGCAGTCAGGATTCCCACCTCCCGCCGCCTCGAACAACACCGATGCCCCATCATCCGCCAAAGCGAACACATCACCACCTGGCAGTGTAAACATGGCACAGGGTGACTGAACAGCACTGCTAAGATTACCTCCTTCAAAACAATCTGTTGCTTTTCTTTCTGGTTAGAACTCAAAGTTAAACCAACAAATTGATTTCCACAGTGGACAAATGCTTCCAAGAAAAAGAGACCATTAAACTATTAAAAATAGTAACAATAATTAACCCTCTATCTACTTCAACGAATATTTGTGGACTCCACAGTATGTAAAAAAAGTATGTGTGACCCTAGAATGAATTAAATTTGACTCTTAATTGTAAGAGGGAAGTGAAACAAAATGTCATCGGAGAGCATTAGTTGTACTACGCTCCAGTGCGTCAGTTCTAGGAAGCACGGTGCAAGCGCGAGGACGGTATCTGACTATGACCGAGGAGGGCTGCCCACGTCTACTCACCTACACATCTGCACCTGCAGGCGGAGCGATGCATACTATTTCTCATGGACTTGTTAAGGTATAAATGAGATTATATTGAGACACTTTAAAAACCATTGCTAAAAAAAAAACAAAACAAAAAAACAAAAAAAAACATTGCTGTTCCCCATAGATGATACTTGGGGTGTTATGCGGTCCTAGCCTTCATTTAGAGATGAGGAAACAAGAGTAGATAAATGTTTAACCTTTTGAGTAGGTGGCACTGTGTATTTTTAATTTAAAGTGATTATCCCACAATATATTATTCATAGACAATTTCCCTCATGAGCAGCATGGTGTTTAGGAAGACGCCCTGACCCGTTAGCCATGTTTTTACTTCCTCCATAGGACAAAGGGGTAGGAAGGTAGCAGTAGATAGCAGAAGCCATTTCGTGAATTAGGTGTCTTAACTCTTGGTTGTGTAATTGTGTAAAACACTTTAAGGGTCTAAAGTGAGGCAAGGTCACAATCCATTGGGGAAAATTAAGGTAAAACTTAGAGAGGAGGTGAGTTTTACTGAGTGTATTCCAAGGGAGGGAAAGTATCTGATGCAACCTAGACAGAGGGAATATCAGGTATGTCTGGGAATCCTGACTGTCTACTTTGGCTGTAACATAGGGATACAAGATGGGAATAGTGAAGCACGAACTCAGGAAAACCATTCAAACTAATGCAGTAGTTTTATTTCAATGGCCCTTTAAGGACAGGATCCTTAATTGCCATGCATGACACAGATAAGGAGACTGGAAATCTGGAATCATGAGGAAATGATTATACTGGTCCAGAGAAGATGTGAGAGATACCAAGGATGGCAGCTGGATGGCAAGGTGAGGACAAAGAGGCCTTTTAGGACTTTGCAGCTAATGGGATTAGAAAATAAAATGTTGGAGGAATTAGAGATAAACCTAATTTTTTAGTCCTGGTTGAGATATATTATTATATTGGGGTGTGGGAAAAGAGAAGGAATTCAATGTAGGCAAAGATACAGGCAAGACCTGGGTGGAAACCAGGCTGCCTCTAGACAGAGCAATCAGAGCTGAGCTTGCACATCCTTAGCTGTAATATATAGGGCTTATTTCTGTTGTGGAATGGGGATTTATGGCAGAGGCAGGATATAGATCTGAGAGCCTCATGCTCAGCTACGTTCAGGGGTGGAAGAGCAGCTCAGGAGGATGGAGGAGAGGCCCAGAGGCAGGAGGGACGTCAGGGAAGCGGTCATTCTTTTTCACACACCTTTGTGGATTAGATGTTCCAAAACGTCACAGTGACCATACTCTGCGGCAACACCGAGCGGTGTGACTCCAAATCCATCTCTCAGGTGGACGTTGCCTCCGTGGTTTAGCAGCAGAGATACGATGTCTTTTCGGCCTTGCTTGGCTGCTTCATGCATTGCTGACCATCGCTTGACACAGGGTTGGTCAAGGCTGGTGTTGTGTTTAATCAGAGCAGATACCATGTCAAAGGAGCCCTTTTTAACAGCTTGAGAATGATTTTTAAAAAGAACAGCCAACAGTAGACGTATTAACATGAATAACTTACAGAGTATTAAAGCAATTACCAACTTAATATCAAAACAGATATTAGCTCTTTTTATTGTATGAAAGAATACTGTATTTCACGTATCTGAATTTCTACTTGTGCAGTATGAATACTCAGGAGCAGTCTCTTTCTTTAAGGCTCCGAGGGTGGTGAGAGTTGCATGGAAAATGCCGTGTACTCTTTCCGAGCTTCAGTCCACTCACTAACAAAGCGGTTGGTCACTGGGTTGTATAAGCTGATACATGCAGAGTGCTAGTCCCAGCACATACGGGAGGGCAGTAAATTATTTGTATCATTTTATCATTCCCAGAAACCTGGTGCTCCACGTATATACAATGTTTACGAAGTTTTCGCCCAGAAAAATGCTTTTCCCTTTCCCCCAACCAATGGCAGCAGTAAACATTGAATGGACTTTTCTGAGCTTCGTGGAGACCTAACAATAGGACTGTGATGAATCTGAGCAGCTCAGCTGTTCTAAAAGGATGAACAATGTAAGAGTCCGTGACTGAGCGGGATGTTTCTCTGTTCTGCCCCCTGCTGGTCTGTAATGATTGCAACCATACTGTTAAGAGCCTCTTTTTCTGTTTGTATCTCTAGGTTGGCCCTGTTAAGATGTAAATTCTTCCAGAAGATAGAACACACTTTTTTCCTTTTAATCAAGTAAAAGTTTTAATAAAAAACAGATCTTAGATTTCCTCATCCATTTATGATTCATTCATTCATTCATTCATTTTGTTCTCAGATGAATGGCTCTTTGTCGGGCAGGGTGCCCTTCGAGAGAAGAAGCCCATCCTGTCTTCTGTTTGCAAAGAGTCACAGTGGGAACCTCGCTGGGAAGGCAGGAGGAGATGTTTTGTGTGAGATTACACACACACCATTCCGTAGGAAAGAGGTAGAACTCAGAAAGATCTATGGCTAAGGGGAGGGAAAGGGCTCCCCAAATGTGTGCTGGGGGTGAAGACAAGTTTTTCCTTCTTCGTCTGGAGCAGGTTCCACTTTTTTCCCTGTTCACAGTCTGCAGCAGAATCTGTTGACAAATGGCTCTCCCCAAAGCGCCCATCTGCCACTGGCAGCTCTAATTGCGGTGAATTACCTCACCCTGGCTATGTCGCTGCAGAACAAACTCCAGGCAAGCTCAATGCACTGCGAGAAGTGTGTCCTCATTTATCTCCTTGCCGTTTATAATTGGAAAAAAAGTATTAAAATAGTGAGCCTCTGCCCTCATGATCTGTTTCCTTTTGTTTCACTCAAGAATATATTGCACAGCAATATTAATCTTCATCAAACAACAACATATGATTGCCATCTTCAGCTTAAAAAAATTCTCAAAAATTAAAATCCACTTCCTATATAAGGACGTATTTTTAAGAGAAAGGACGTATTTTTAAGAGAAATAGGGCAAATTATGGGAAATGCTTCCCAAGCTAACCTATAAAGACATTCTTGAACAATAAGTGACAGAAATAATGAAAACTATTAAGGCAAAGTTTTGAAATAATAGAACTCATTAAGTAAGATGAGAATGAAAAATTTCTGAAGTTTTATGTATAAATTATATATATTTTAATTCTTTAGCATTTCAAATCCAAAATTGAGAAATTCTTTAGTATTCTTTAGAATTTTTCAGAATCTTTTTAATAATTTTCAAGTTTATATCTTCAGTAACAAATGCTTAAAAAATACCACATTTAAGTTGAATTGAGGGAATCATATGGGAAACTTTACCTAAATCATAGGCCCTTTTGAACATTTATAGATGGTTGGCTTTTCTTTTTTATTATAAATTTGTCATTTTCTTTCTTTTTCTGGATATATGTACATTGCTAATGTAACTTAATTCTTAGTTATGACTGATCTCTGACTCACAGAACAGATAGGAGAGAGACTTTTCTGAGGTATCTGGAAAAGGGCTGGAAGATTGAAAGTGGAGCTGGAGTGAAGAGGATGTGTATCAATTTGTGAGAAAGAATGGGCTGGGGATGTAGCTCAGTGATATAAGTGCCTGCCTAGCAAGCGCAAAGTCCAGAGTTCAATCCCCAGTACCGCAAAAAACAAAGAGAGAAAGAAAATGTCAGAAGTGAAAAGAAGTGGAGTGTCTACAGGGGAGGAAGTAGAGAGTCCACAGGGGCGGGGGGGGGGGGGCTGGGGGGCCCCAGGGGGGGGAAAGGGGGGGGCCCGGGGGGGGGGGGGGGACCTGGAGTGCCCCAGGGGGAGGAAGTGGTGTGCCCACGGGGGAGGAACTGGTGTGTCCAAGGGGGCCGAAGTGGTGTCCCCACGGGGGAGAAAGTGGAGTATCCACGGGGGAGGAAGTGGAGTGTCCACAGGGGTGGAAGTGGTGTGTCCATGGGAGAAGGTCAAGAAAGACGGAGGGGAGTGGACTGGGATGTTGTACTGAACAGTCCTGAACCTTCTCCCCACTCTGGGCTCTGCTAGTCAGGATAAGCTTGAGTATCTCCAACTGAGTAAAGTGACACCTAGTCTTGAGGGGTGGACAGAGAGAGTGAAAGTGAAAAAAGGCCTTAGTAAGTGTCATATCACCACAAATCAGATATCCACCCCTCAGCAAGTAACTGTGCAACACTTTGAGGTGATACTCAGTGTGCCCAAAGTAAGAGCCATATAGTTGACAAGGAAGGAGGTCACAGGAGGGAACGGAAGTAATTATAGGGTTTTTTTTTTTAGAAAATATGAATAGTCTATAAATAGATAAACGATGATGACAACAGGCTAAGAAGAGTGTTAAGAAATGGAATTACACAGAAAAAAGAACAACATTTTCCCCTTTCTTACCTCCCCCTGTAAGTTAATCAGCTATCTGTAACACATTTCACACAATAATTCTGTGTTTGGGAAGTAAAATAGTACACAACTCTGAAATTGTGTCCATTTTGCAAGAATCAAAGGTTATCTATAAAAACATCAAATTCATGGATGTTGTTGCAAATATCCATGGCGTATGCTAGTTTTTAAATAATATTACAGATCATATTAATAGTGAAAAATAACCCAGGGGTGGATATTCTACTTAGTCTCTGTAGAACCTGCCTAGGAAAAGAGCTCTGGGTTATTAATGAAAGTCACAGTGTTACTGTGACACACAGTCTGGTTAATATGTGTGCAGAGGCTACTGTCTGTTCCTCAGGATTCACATTAGCCCTTTTCCTGTTAGCAATAGAAACTCCCAAGTGTTAGCTGGTTATGGACTACCCAGGTAGGAAGTACATATCACAACCTCCCTTAACTGTTGGTGGAATATAATCTGAACTAATGTAATATGAATGGAACTGCTGTGGGCAATGTCTAGGTCATTTTCTTAAACTGGAGATGTGCTCCCAGGGCTTCTGCTCTTCTCTTTCCTGCTTGTTTCCTAGAAAATGGTGACATTTGGAGCAATCTTGCAAGCTCCTGTCATGGTGGCAAAGTCACCTTGTCAACCCTACATGTCTGAAATGTGGTTGGAAAATGACTTCTTTTAAAGTCATTTGTATTTATTTGCTTGCTTTATGTCTTTTTTTTGTTGTAGTTACAGAAGATTTTCCAGTTTCATAGCTATTGTATTCAACCGTTTGTTGTTGTCTGAATTTAGGAAAGCTCAGGGCTCTGACATGCAGTGAGAGTGAGGAACAATCCACTCAGACTGACATTCCACTCCCCACTCAGTCATCTCTGTGTCCCTGAAGACCCAGTTCAAAGAGTTTAATCTTTTTGAAGTCTCTGCATATTCACTCCCTCCTTATGTCCTTAATTCACTGTGATACATATGTACAATAGCATTTGCAGCATGACTTCTTCATTTAAATCATACATAGCTCTCTTACTAGACTAGTGATGGTTGACCCATTTAGAGCTGTCAGCGATGCAAACAGCCTGCTCCAGAGAGTGCGCCATAGGTTCGGCTCCACTATTAGACTCTTTGAGGAAGATTAGTTTGCTCATCTTCATATCCAGGCTGCCCCGTTCACCATCTGGTTTAATGTGACTTCTCAATGCATTTTGTTTTATTAATGTCGCTGAGTGCATGCCATCAAATGAAAATATTTTACTACTGTTATAACTTTCTACATTTCTTTAAATCACAGTGTCACAGCCAGGATAGAGACCCACAGATCTCAGGTGTCAAAGTCCAAATTCTTGCTCCATCATGTCAGTCCGTAAGAGAAAGGAAACATCACCTTTGGTCATCTGTAGTTAATCTCACCTGTTTCTGTTTCCACAGATAGTCCTGTCAATTCTCATTGTTCAATAAATAGCAGGATTCACAAGTCTGAGAAGAAGCTGATTGACGATATCTTAAGATTTGCCATCTTTCCGTGGTTGTGTCACAGTTGTGATGCACTCATAGGCTCCATGCTCAGCACCTGTTCCTCAGAATTTGCTGGTTCCACTTCATTCCAGAACAACCATTCATTCTGGTTGTTCTGATGAGGACCTGTATCTATCTTTGGAATCTCTACTCTTATCTCTTTCTTTTGGTTCCATGTTGCACACACAATCCTCTTTCCAACTGGATCCTATGCAGAGAGTACTGTGTTCCTTTAGACTTTACATCTCTGGTCTAATTACACGAGGTCAAACCACTCCTGAATTTACTGCCCTCTCTATAATTGAGATGTAGCTATCTTTCTACAGGATGTAGCTATTTTCACATTACCTCTTTCTGGGACAGGAAAATAAAATCACAGCGTGGGTGAAATGGGGGTCAGAGGAGGAGCTCAGAGAATGGAAGGAATTGAGGCTGCATAATTCTGGCCAATCTCAGTGGTTTCCAATAAATTCCTATTAAATATATTAAATACTTGTTATTTGTTTCAAATTAAGTAAGTTTTCAAAAAAATATCATTTACCAATCAGAAGAGGTGTCTCTCCTTTATCATTTTTGGTGTTGGGACATACTCCCTTTTCCAATAAAGTCTTTACATTTTCCACCAGACCAGCTTTGACTGCCAAAGTCAAGGGCGTTTCTCCATCATAGGTCTTGAACTCCCAGAGAGTCTTATAGGATGCTGAAATGTCAAAGAATTGCGTTAAAAATCTTCAAACATTTACTTAAATTATATTGCATAGATCAGCATGACTCAATACTATACATATCAGATTAAACAGTAACTGATGATAAAGGGAAGATTAAAAAGGAGATATGAAAAAAATTGGCCAGGTAATGGTGAGGATAACTAGACAGACATGGACTTGCTAATCAAATTGACAGCTAGAAAACCAACATATAGTGGCTTTTTTAAAAGCTATTGATTCTTACTTCTTGATACCTTGTAATGCAACTCTCCAATCCCTTGTGTTATTATTTAAATCACATCTGAAATCATTTTTGTTAAATAAGATGCATAAATAATATATTTGAATGAATATATTGACATGTAATGTGTAAGAATATGTTAGAAAAATATTGTCTTTAATGTCATCTGTATCAGTCTCGCTAGCTGTCTGCTTTTCTAGCTGGTAAACTAATTTTCATTTATTTATTATCTCCTAAAACATAGAAGTGTGTAGTAAGCAACTCTTGAAAAATAAGGTGAAAGATAAGGCACTCTCAAAGATTTTGGTGAAAGATAAGGCACTCTCAAAGATTTTGGTATGTGAAAACACCGTGTTATAGCACAAAAATTATTACTCATGTTTATTACTGGCTTGACTGATAATATTACTCATAATGGGTACATTTAGAAAAACTAATGGTTGTAAGAATTATATGTTGTAATACATAATAATCTTTTGGTAATTATTAAGTCAAGTAATAGTTCAAGATGAAAAATTAAAATGACTTTCAAAAGAAAAATACTTTATGTTTGAATCAACTCACAATGTGTAAAATATTTTATCACTCAATTGATAATAACACATTCCTACCAATCTTTCATATTCTAAGATAAAAGGATGCAAAAGGTAAACCCCAAATGTCACAAAATGTGCTAAGTTTCTCTACTGAGTTTACAACATGGACAGTGCCTTTTTCAAATTCCAAAAAATCTTTTATTCACTTATTTTTGCTTGTTACGTTCATTGGAAATGATCATAACTTTGTTTTGTTGTAGTTTCATCAAAAGGTGTATGCTGTCTTACCATCCAGGACAATTTCAAGTATCTGTTGAATGGGCTGAATAACAGCTTCATGCAGTGGAAACCATCCTTTCTCATCAGCTTCATCCAGTGCATATTTGTATTTCATACATTCCTGGAGCTCAAGGATGTGACCTAAATGAAATCCATATACTGAATGACACATCTTGGCCTTTGCAGGGTAATATTTCCAGTCTATTCCTCTGTCTAAAATATTCCCACTAACCTTGATTTATAGCCTCCACAAGTTTTCTGTTTTGATCACTTAGTGGCACAAATCTACCAGAAAAGAAAAACAAGCTGTGTTTATACTAGTGATATACTTTAAAGAACCCAACTTTTAAAATTTATATTGTGTATTTGGAAATAATTAAAATAAGATCTAAAGGAAATACACACACACTGATTATATCCACTTTTACAATGTAAATTCCTGACTCAGATGCAGAATATATTTATGATATACCAGACTTAAGAACACTAGGGAAGCCAGGTGAGTGGTCCAGCACTCAGGAGGCTGAGGCAGGAGGATCACTGTGAGTTTGAGACTAGGCTGTCCTATAAAGTGAACTCAAAGCCAGCCTGAACTGCAAGACCCCGTCTCAAAAAGACAAAAACAAAACAAAACACTAGTGAACATTGTAAAAGATATGGTGCTGTGTCTCCAGTCTCCCTGAGCAGTGAAGAAGAAGAAAATGATCAAATTCAGGATCAGAATTACTGGGTTCAGCCTGGGGAAGCCGAGTATTCTCTCTGAGTGTTCATTTCTTCACCCATAAAAATGGTCAGATTAGGCAGGATTTTCAAGATAAAGTTTCCAGTTTTGAAAACTCTATATTCAGTAGATGTTTGTTGTTTGGAACTTAATGACTGCTAATGGACACTTACTTGGACTTATGTTTCACACCGCATATTAGAGTTTTTGTCAAATAATCTACAAATGAAAATTGAACAAACTCCCAATCACCGGCCAGCAGGTCATGATTTAAACTTTCATGGCAATTCTCTGGTTATGTGTGCGTGAATTAAATAAACGCATAGAATTCCATTAAAAGAGTTAACCATATTGAGGAAAAATATTCATTAGCATTCGAGAGTTTTAATGCCTTCCAGGGAACTCTCAAGTTCTAAAATCTGCTGACACTAAAGGAAAAATTAAAAAGACTAGAAATGTAAATGTATTAAGTCCATTTTAAAAGCTCAAAAGCAATAATTTTGTAGCACTGAGTTTATTTTAAAAATTACTCAATTCCAGAATATAAGATTCTAAATAAGATAACAGAATATGAAGATAAGCTAAGGTTTATTTTTTGTCAGAAGCATGTTTTATTCCAGACAGAAACTTATTTTTCCTGTTTTAGACTCACTAACCCCTACTTACATAATACATTAATTTTTATTGTGTATTTTAATTTGTTTACTTATAAAGTTTACCTGAGACAGTAGAAGAAAGTGCTATATAATGTTCAGACCTATCTATACATTTGTTGTATAAACCGCACTTGCAAAAACTCGTTCAAATGACTCCTTGTCCTTTTAACTATCAATTTAGAAAATAGGAAATCCTATCCAGTCCAGTGCAACTAGAAATTTTCTATTTAGATGGTGCTGTTTTCCACACAAGATGGAGATCTGCAGAAAGGAGCATTACACTCTGCGCACAGTGGCCTTTACAAGGCTGTTAGATTTGCTGCTAGAAAAGAAAGGAAACATTTTCCCAGAGCAAGAGTCAGAAATGAATGCCATAGGAAATTTTGCTGAAGATAGTTGCTTAGAATGCTACCTTTTGGGCCGGGGATATAGCTCAGCGGCATAAGTGCTTGCCTAGCAAGCCTGAGGTCGTGAGTTCAATTCCTGGTACGAAAAAAAAAAAAAAAGAATGCTACCTTTCAGGATGAAATATGGGCTGACTGGCTTCAATGGATTCTTGAATACTAAGCTGAATATCATAACTTGTAAGATTATCTTCATTGAGGTCATCGTTAGGATCCATACCTGGACATAATTTTGAAAGAGGCAATTTTTTAATGTCAACAAATAATATTGAAGATCAGGCAGGATTAACATTACAAAAGCAAAAGGAAACACTAAAATGCATTTGTCTTTCTCTATTTAACAATAAAAATGGAGTTAATATTTTAATCCTTAAAAATATGTGAGGTCCACTTTCTTTACTTGGATATTCTAACTGTGGAAACTGGGGCCCACTGAACATCTGCATTTTTAAACGTTTTACTTTCTCTTCAGTGTTGGCTGCCATTGGGTTCATATGAACTCTCTTTTTCCAAGTTTCTGATGTGTACTAATTTTGGCCCAGCTATTTACAGGACACATTACGAGTTCAAAGCTCAACCTAAAAAGAGCTGGGTCAGTGGCAATAACAGAGAACAGTGATTCTTCTACATTCTTACAAACCCAGTCGCAAGGTCTGCCTGGCCTCGGCGCATCACCGAACAGTTAAGGACCATCTTAAGGACATCTGCAGGCCTGAGAGCAGCCCTGCTGTATGCTCCCCATGCATTCCCTATATAATTCTGTCTATCCATTACAAGCCACTGCTTCTGACTGGCCGATCTCCCCTGGGGATAATACACAAAATGTAAATTATTCTTTATTGACTTATTTCTTTCAAATATCAAATTAGAAGAATGAATATCTCTTTTTACTGTTGGATCAATTGTTTTATTGTATTTGGTGAGAAAGTTTAGTCAGTGTAGAAATAAAAGTAATTCTACAGATAGGTTAACTGAACCAATATGAAATAATCTGGAGCTAATACTTTTCAAACCGAAGCATGTTCTCTGTGCACACTTTAATATTGCAGTCTGCCTTTTCAAGGGGGGAAAACATAAACTTTGTGCAGGTGATTTCCCAAACACAGCTGACAGCAGACATTCTCATTCTGCAAAGCTACATGGTCTGAAACTCCAGGGACAGCTCTACGCATGCTCAAAGCCAAGGTCTTGACCTCTGGATGGGTGCATAATAGCATTATTAGCATTTTATTGATGATAACTTCAGAACAGAACGGATACAGGGCAATGGTAGTGTTTGGAGGTCACTGCGGTGGCAGCACTGCTCCTCTGATCCCAGTGCCACTCACCATGGGACACCCTCCCCTGTGGTCTTCTTTGCCAAATAGATCTATTTTATTTTTTTCTAAGTGTTTATTTGTTCATGGTTTCCTCCCCAAAAAGGTAACTGCATAAGAACAGGGAAATAGTTACAACCTCAGTTTGTACAGAGCCATAGCCTCATGGTTTCAAGGTTGCTACATGTGTATAGAATGAATTAATGATCTGATAAAACAACACTGGAACACAAACCAGGCTCTGCTTTGTTCTCATAACTGACTGTTTCTATCAGGAATGGAGTTTCTTCCACTAAACAAATTTGATTGCTCACTGTGTTTGGCTTTATTTTTCTCACTTCTGTGCTTTTGTAAACTTCACTCATGAAGATTCCAGCTTTTGATGACATTCATGGCCCACACCGCTCCATGCCTGGCCCAAGACTGTCCTTCTGTTGTAAGCTCTTACTGGAATTCACTTTCTCACTAGGCTTCTTTATCGGTGAATATCTCTTCTTGTGTAACACTTTCCTAACATCTGTATTTGTACTCATTCTAATTTGCTTTGCAATTTCTTCACATATTTATGTTTTGTGTTCTTAGTTTTCTCAGAAGCAGTATTGCTTTCTTTTTGCTTTTCCTGGGATTGAGCCAGGGTTTCCTCTATGCTAGGTAAGAGCTCTACCACTGAGTCACACCTGCAACCGCACTTTCTTTTTCCTTTATGTCTTTTCCCTCTATTCCCACTCTCTGATAACTGTGGGAAATTGCTTCCTTCAGTGGTCAAGGAAAAAGTTTGCCAATTCACATTCATTACTAGTGAACAAGGAGGACCGAGTCCTTCAGATAACACAGCTAGATAACAAAGTTAAACCTGCGCACTGCCTGTTTTCTTTTACCATGGTGATGGGGGAATCGCATGGCTGTGGGATTAGCAATGGAATACAAAGCCTTTCACCTATTTAAGTCACCAGTTTAAATCTACCCTGATTGAAACCTGGTCTTCTGAATCATGAGACACCATAGGCTCCTTGGGAACTAAATTACTCTGGAAATTCAGTCTTGGAAAGGATTTTCTTTTAATGTCTTTTTAGCTACCGTCAAGAAAGATTCTGAACAGTTTATTTCCCTGATGACAGCAGTGCAGAGAAGATAGGAAAACCTACATGAGACAACTCCACTCCAACACAGGCCTCCCCCGCCTCATCCCAACAGCTCGGGATGAGGGGAGGCTGTATGCATACATGCACCAAGGTTCTGGGTCATCGAGGAGCATCACCGGGATGGGCTTAAAAATATCAAGGTGTAACAAGACAGGCAAAAAGAGAGTTATCTATATGGACTGCGAACTTCAAACAAGACTCGATCTTCGGGCTGGGGATTTAGCTCAGCGGCACAGCGCCTGCCTAGCAAGTGTGAGGTTGTGAGTTCGATTCCTGGCACAGGAAAAAAACAAAAAAAGAACAACAAAAAAAAGACTTCATCTGAACTGAAGGCCAGTAAGTCAATAGGAAATTATTCAAATAAAGTACCACTCCAGGGTTGAGGCAGTAAGGTCAAGTAATATATTGCCATCCTTTAAGATCTAGTCACAAGTGTGTCATTTCTCAGTCTGTTTAAAGAAATTAATTGACCCTTTCTACTCAGTTTTATTCTGTAGAATCCCACTAGTGAGATCAGTTATTCTCTCCAGGTAGGTGATTTATTAAACAACTTGGGCAATCTTATTGTAAATTAGCTTTTTCATTTAACCCTTGCTGAGGGTCAGGAACCCATCTGATGAGAGCTATGGATTCTTTCTGGAGAAGAATATATGCCTACTTAAAATTCTGCATACAATTTTAAGGAATTCGTGGATCCTGAAACTCTTTCATGTACCCCTGGTTGAAAAAACAGTGAAATTCAGGATTTTTAAATGCTAACATCCAAATACATTATCCAGACATCAGCAATTAATAATTCATGTTACAGATGGAATGAATCAAATCCAAAATTTAGATAGCGCAAGAGTTTGGCAACCATGTACATTTTAGAATATGTTTAGTTGTAAGAACCATAAATTATGTGGTTAGTGCTGGCTTTGTGTGAAGCACCTTACAAAGCACTTTACCTATATTACTTTGTTTAAAAGCTTACTGTAAATGTTATTTTGTGGTTATTATAGATCACTGTGGAATCTTAGGCTTCAAGAGGTTAAAATACCTGCCCAGTGTCGTTGCAAAGCTAACACAGTCTGAGCACATCGTACCTTCACTTCTAAGATCTTTCAGAAGCTGCAGGAAAACATCCCATCGTCTATTGACTGTAAAAGAAAACACACTGATCCTGCTCCTAACAGCCAACTCTTGATGACAATACCTTCCAAAAATAAAAAATAGCTTCCAAAGACACATAAATCTTTTTTCTTGGGCTCTGTGCAATTGGGTTTTGTGTTGCTAAGGGTGGTCAGAAGTGTCCTAACCTTGCTTTCACTCTGTACTTTTTGTTTTGGAGTTTAAACATCACCATCCAAAAAATAGGATCAACATACCAGCGGGTGCCTGACTGAAGTGGTCAGGAGGCTGGGATGTCGCAAGGTATGACGCTGGAGTGAGCATGAGTACATGATGCCTCCTTGCTTCAGGTCCTCCAAACTATTTCCAATCCTTCATTCATACTGATCTTTACTGTTAAGACCGTTGAGAAGTGTGACACCCTTCAGAGCGTCCTTTGAAATATGCTAGTACCCTTGACACCGAATCACAGTTCTCCTTTGCACTGAACAGGACAAATATAACTATCTTCCTCATGAATTGCTTAGGCGATTTGCTCCCGATTACATCCAAGTTCATAATCCCGCCTACCCTAGCTCTGTCTTGGTCATAACAAAATGGAAACAATGTCTGTGAGTCCACAACAGAGTTGGCCTTGAGAGTGGGCTGAGTGGAGGACAGTTGCTTCCATGGTGCGAGGAAGGGCTGTGTGTCCATAAATATCACACTGCCCCCAGCACCTGTTGTGTCAGTGTCACTTTTACATCAGTGAGAGATGCTGTCCTTTAGGGCACACTGTTACTCTAGCGTTCCTTTTAAAATCCTAGCAATCAGCAGACAGTGAGAATAGACTGGAAAAAATCACATGGGATGATGGAGAAGGTCCAAGGTTGAGAACTAGCTGGAGGTGATAGAGAACCAAAACAGGAGCACTATTTGATCTTCCTTAGTTTATACAAGTTCATCCTAAATCCAAACCCCAAGTTTCTGAAGGAACTATAAGTCTATTGTATGGAATGCAGGACCTTGATTCATAGAGGAATTTTTCTTTTACCTTGAAAATGATATTGTCCTTGATTGCTGAGCTCATCTAGTGAAAGTCCTAGAGAGGATCATTGGGATTTATCCTATCAGAGAAAGAGCAACAGTTAAATAAGGAAATTTTCGTTTTTTGATTTTGTTAAGAAAATATAGTTATATGCCAAATGATATTGATCCTCATTTTTCTGTACTTTTACCCTTTATAAGTAATTTTAAAGGTATTGTAAAATTATTACAAATAAAATTTTGTTATAATTTTGGTGTTAATTGGGTGGCTATTCACTTTTAGTTTTTCATAGTCCTTGTTTATCTCAACCACATTTAAACTGCATAAACGGGGCTGGAGATTTAGCTCAGTGGCAAAAGCGCCTGCCTGGCAAGCGCAAGGTCGTGAGTTCGGTTCCTGGTACCAGAGAAAAACCAAAAAAATAAAAAAAAATTAAAAAAATAAACTGCATAAACCTTAGAAGTTACATAAATGCCCAACAATAGGGAATTTGTAGGAGATGCTATTTTTATACATACAGTAGAATACAATAGTTGTTGGTTAATATATTTGAAGAATATTTATATCATTAGTAACATATTTAAGAATGATGTGAGTAGCCACTTTTAAGTAACTAAAATTGACTTTATTCCAATTTTGTTGAGGTAAACAGAACTAATATTTACAAATTATTTTAAAATTAAATATTTAAGGTGTACAACTAAATGATTTAATACACATATACATTGTGAAATAATCAACACAATCAAGTGACTACACTATCTGGCACTTCCTAGATTTACTCCCAAATTTCTTGGTAGAACCATTATGAAAACAGTGCAAAATTCCTCAAGACTTTAAACACATGACTACTCGATGGCTCAGCAATACCACCTCTGGGTGTATTTCCAAAGGAACTGACATTTGCCTTCCCATGTTCGTTGCAGCATTATTTAAAATAGCAAAGACATGGAATCTACCTAGACATCCATTGACAAATGAATGGGTAAAGACAATGAACAATGTATTTACAATAGGATATCATTTAGCACTTAGAAAAAGGAAATCCTGTCATTTGTGATAATGCAGCTGAACCTGGAGAACATTACACTTAAATATAAATCAGACACAGGTAAACAAGTATTGAAAGATCTCACATATAGTTTTTTTTTTTTTTCTGGTACCAGGAATCGAACTCATGACTTCATGCTTTCCAGGCAGGCACTGTGCCACTGAGCTAAATCCCCAGCCCCAAGGTCTCACATATATGTGAAATTTAAAATGTTCACTCACAGAAACAGAATTTAATGATAATGCCAGGGGCTAGGCAAATAGAGTACTGAGAGATTTTGGTCAAAGGGTCCAAAGTTTTAGCTATGCAGGATGAATAAATTCTGGTGATCTATTGCACAATAACTATATTGTGTACTTGAAATTTGGTAGGAGTGTACATCTTAAGAGTTTCAAAAAGAAAAACATAAATAAGAAGATGACTAAAAATAATTTTTTAAAAAAGTGACTAAGACTGACTTTGTGGAGATAAAGTTTCCAAACAAACAAACAAACTGATCTAGCATGTACCTCTTAGGGCCAAGCAGGCAAAGAACCCTGGTGACCTTGAGAAGAGAGTAACTTGCCCAAATTTATAGCAAAGCAGGTGAATGCTGGTTGTTTATCAGTCTCCTGTCATGGTGGCACTATTCCAAACATCTATAGGAGAGGAGAGGTCCATCGCAACTTCCAAATTGTCAAAGCTGCCAAACCTTGGAAATAAGAATAATTTGACTCACAGTTTCAGAGGATTCAGTCTATGGGGAACTGGTTCTAAGATAGAAATATCATGGTAAGAAGGCATAGTGGAGCAAAGACATTTTAGTTCATGGCGATCTGGAAGTAGAGCCAGGGAAAGCACAAGGGGGAAAGGAGCAAGGGAGCAGATATGAACCCCAAGTCACACCTCCATGATTCAACAAGACACACCCACAGTGTGCTTCATCAGTTCCTGGACAGCTCCCAAGCCAATCAAGGTGACAGCCCCATTTAACTGTCACAGGTGGGCTGTTTCCTGGCTTGGGAATGAGCAAAAATCTGAAAGATGGATGCATTTATCTGACTGTCAAGCACAAGCCTAACCTGTATTATCAAAGCACTAACCTAAGTTATTGTATTGTCTGCATGAGACCAAAAGTTATTTTTCACTAATTACTGAGTAGCAGTTTCTAAAGAAAGCAAAGCTACAGATTAAAAGAAAAAAAAGCTACTATTGGTTTACACAACTGAGTGGTAGGCTAAGTAAAAATTTTTTGACTCATTAATTAGGCATAACAGTAAAAATTTCTATGCCTTAAAGAGGCATTTTTGTATGCATACATATTTTCTCTCTAAACATGTTTATTCCTGAGCATAGTGTATTTTGTTTGACATAAAATTCCTGTGTGGTGTTTAAGTCAAATACTCTTCTGTTCAAAACTTAAACAATTATGAGTTATAGCATTTTTTTAGTATCTTGTTTTTAAATCATATATATATATATGCCATTAATTTCTTTCTGCTGGAAGTGGTGGAATGTAGCGATTGAGTGTCTATTCAGCTCCTGGTCTGCCTGCATCAACTGTGTAGTTAGCTATGTCTAACATGTCAGTCAGTAAACAGTGCCTGTTATCATCCAATGACTGAACTCTTCTGGAGTGGGGAAGTGGAATTCTAGTATGTTTCAGCAGTTTTGGTTTTATTCCCTCCCTTGAATAGGCTCTCTGACTTCCTTCTTATCTTCTCCTTTTTTTTACCCTGGAACCAGCAAATGCCAAGCTTAAAACCATCAGGCAGCCCTACCTGTAGGTCCCATCTCCTACTGCCCAGCATGTAGTTGGCCAGTCTCAGTTAATCCAAAGGGCCAAGATTAATGCCCCCCATACGCACACAACTCCTCATTTTTGGCTAGTTTTAAAGATTATGAAAAACACTGAAGTCAAATTCATCCCTTTAGAACATTATGTGATAGCATTACTTGTGTTTTCCCCAGAACCACACAGAGAAAATGTTTTTTCTCTGGGATATGAGAGATATTTACCTATCTCCCAGGAAGACTGTCAGATTTCCTTTGAGCCTTCTGGCGTGCTACTCTTATGACATGGCTTAACCTCCTTCACTGTCAGATTTCTGTACACACACTTATTTACCCATCTCTTCCTAGAAGTGGCTTTGGACTGTGGCTTCTGAACACAGCCCAATGGGTGGAGTCAGACCAGCACAACATTAAGAGGTTAAGACCACCTCCCTTTCCTTGGACAATATATATTTGTAAATCTAGCCCAGAATCGCATGAATTTTGGGGGTTATCATGTTACACACTCAATTTGGGCCCTTATGACCCCCAGTTCTACAAATTTTATGTTTCCCACATTATTTGATGCATAATTCTGTGTAGGATTCTTTGTTTCTATTATATTTCATCTTTTGTAGGTTTCACCTTTATCCCCATTTGCTAAGATCTGATGTATTTTCTATTCCTTCAAGTATTCTATATGCAGAGCTAATAAGCTGTCTTATGTGTCCTTATGCTTCACTGACAACGATAAATGTTGAAGAGAAATTAGTACAGTACAGAGGTTCCAGGTTGATTTGATCCGTTATTTAGCACCCTTTGAGAAAAGCTGTTTATCCAGTTACAAATCCTCTGAAAGACACCACATCCCGTGTTCGTGTCTCATTTTTGATAACCAGACCATCATCAAGAGATGATTGTCTAATCCCTTGTTGAATTACAGATTCTACTCCACTCACTTGCTCCACTAGTCAAAAAGACATAGGAAGAGAATTGACCGGCAAGTTCCTGGCTTTTGTATATTTCTGACCCTTCTATTCATCTATTCAAAAATCTGCACTCAGTGTTTGCCATTTTTCATGCACAGTGCTACACAAAACCATACAGGACGGTGCCTTCAGGGCGTCTGCTGCCTTTAAGTAATGCGTTCCAGACTTTTCTCCCAAACAAGACCAATGTCTTCCCTCCCTTCCAAGGTCTAACAGAATCAGACATATAGTAGATCCTCAGTAAATGATTGCTATACTGAGTTAATAATTTAATATTTTAGTACTAAACACTTAGCATTAATAAAGTTAGTATTTTAACTATTTTAGTACTAAACACTTAGCACTGATAAAGTTAGTATTTTAACTAACATCTATTGACATACATTTACTTAAATCATATTATACTATATGCATTGAGTGAAATGGATCATTTAATGTTTATACCATACTTCTCTCTCCTTTTGTGGAAGAGGACACTGAAGCACAGAAAGGTTTGATAATGTGCTCAGGCTTATCTGTCTAGTAGGTGGTAGAGACGTGGGACCTAAACACAGTCACTTGGTAGCAGAAGCCACTAAAGCTCAGCCACTATATGTAGCTGAGGATCCAGCTGCTATGAGAGAATTAATGGAAAGTAGCTCTTATTCTGTAAACTAGAAATTCACAAGCCTCAGAAAAAGCCTGCTGAAAGAATTTAAGTGAACCACCAGCAAGTTTATTCAGCTACAGTGGAAATACAAAAAGTTTGGCAAATTTTCATTTAAAAATAAAATATTCTTATGAAAACAAAGTATAAAATGATGGGGTTTTATCATAATAATTTAATGCTCTCAATACAAAGCAATGATAGAACTTTCCTTGTCTACAGCACTGCTCTTTCATGGAAATCTAATCATTTTAGATGTAGAAAGTTCCTTACAACTGTTCAACTAAGAGCCAGATGAATAACAATTAACAAATAAATTTCAAGGATTTTTCCAGACTCAGAATTCTGTATTCTCTTGAGTTCAGTTTTTTTCCATCTTAACTTACAATATTTGTTTTCAAATCTGAAAAGAATCTATTGTTTGCAACAATAATGAAAAAGTTTTGATAGAGTTTTATTTTAACTATTCACAAAAATCATTTAATTTTTTTTCTCAGAGACATATTCATGATATATTCATCCTGGGCCTGTTTTTGTCAGTATACAGCACTTTGTTAGGGCTAATATTATGTAATTCAGTTGAATTCTATAAATAAATGAAACAACTCTGGCTTTATTCTACAGTTTAAAAGGGTCTAGACAGGCACTGGCAAGCTCCCGGATGATCAATCAAAAAGAATGAATAGCTATCACAGTCTGTATCTCCACCTGTTTAAAATATTTCCAATACTGAACTCTTCCATAAACTAGTTGACAAGGTACGGATTAAATATTTCATAATCTCACCTTTTGGAATGATCATCCTGTCATTCTTATCCAGGGATTTGCCTTCTTAAACCAGAGGAAGTGCTCTGGAGCCCATGTGCTCCTCTGTGTATCTAAAATTAAGTATCCAGTTGGTGGCTAAATTAAGATCTGACCTTGTACAACTGAAACACTAGCGGTTCTTGGCACACAGCAAAGTATTACCCATGACTTCTCTAGACTCTCATCAAAAGAAACCCAAGTCATAAGATTATCTGAGTCCTGATTGGTTCAGAGAGCTCTCAGAAAAACAAATGATCTGCCAATTCAGCTGCAGGAGGATTCCTGCTGCGGGAAAAAAAAATCACTTAAACAGAAGTAAAATTTATCTCAAAATTATCCAGGAGACAGGCCTGTGAATTTGTGTACTGGAAACCCAGATCCATATTTTAATATATACTTTCTCATTCTTCTTTTAGACACTAATCAGATCATATTATATATAACTTTCTTATACTAACTTATTGATTTCCTTTATTTGAATTTAATAATTGCCAATCTAATTTAGGCTGAGGATAGGACGCTCAGTGACATCTATTCTGATCAAGAAATGTTAGGTTAAATTATAGCACATATACAGTCTAAAAAGATTTAGGTTAAGAGTGTCATTTATTTTCTTAAAAAATTTTCAAAAAGCAAAAAAGACCCAATAAAATCTGCCTTACTGATTTTCTAATGAAAAGAATGCTTTAAGGTTGCTTTGACCAGGCTGACCTTGGGTTTACTCGGGACAGTAATGCTCCAAGTCCCTCGGCTTCTGTGCCCTCCGCCCATTATGACAACTATCCTTGGGGATCTGTGTCCTCTTACTTTCTGGGGTTCACAGTCCCTTCTCTTTTCTCATTTTCTTGGCCTGCTGCCAAGAAATGGATTTGCTGCCATTGATTCTTGCCTTTCCCCTGAATCTTCCTACCCTCTATGCTTCTGAGAGTGTTTTCCTTCTCAACCACCTTCTGACCTTTTCTCCTAGTTCCATGTTAATGAATAAATATGCAGATTGTAGTGGGTTCATCAGTTTGAACATAGAATTTGAGGAACCATAGATGTGAAATGAGAAGTCCTGCTGCTTCTTTAACTATAACAAAAAAGAGGATGCACTTCTGTCATCCTTGGAATAGTTCACATTTATGCCGCTATTAAACTTGTATTGAAAGCGGGCCAGGGATATAGCTCAGCGACACAAGTGCCTGCCTAGCAAGCACAAGGTCCTGAGTTCGATTCCCATACCAAACAAAACAAAACAAAACAAAAAAAAAACCGGATTTTGGCTGGGAATATAGCTCAGTGGCATAAGCACGTGCCTGCAAAGTGCAAGGTGGTGAATTCAATGCCCGATACTGCAAATAAATAAATAAATAAATAAACTTGTATTGAAAGAGTCAGGAATAAGGTTAAAACATTAGTGCATTTTCTAATTATGAATCTAACCTGCAATTTTTAAATAAAATTTTTATCAAAAGCACAAACATTGTGAAAATAGTTTTTATGTAACATTTTTTA